CTGCCTGCTGCTCCCCCTGCTTGTGCTCTCTCCCTCTGAAAAATAAATAAATAAATAAATAAATAAATAAAATCTTTTTAAAAAATAATGAAAAAGGATTAACATCATTTATGACTTTCTTTAAATTTCAAATGATTTAACATCAATGGATGAATCAAAGTTACAAAATATTAGCAAAAACCATAGAACAAGTAAGACTCAGTGTTTGACAGATGACTTGGTATTTATAGAACAAAAGGAACTGTTTTTATTTAAAATTACAACTTCCAGACAGGGTGCATTTTGTTAAAGGAAGGTTCTGAGAGGTCCTTTTCCGGAGCTGAGGACCTTGATGGTTTGGGGATCAGTAAAGCCAAGCCTGGAATTTAGGTGGGAGGAGGGTTAGAGAAAATTTAACAGATTTGTCTAGGAGGTAAGAATTTGGGATTCTCGAGGTACCCAGGCAATGGGGGGCTGAGGAGTAGAGATAGGGGAGCACAAAAAGAATGAGGAGGCAGCAAAATGAGAAGTTGGGGTCTTATGAAAGCCCTGGTGGTGCGGCAGCTAAAACGATTTTAGAAACTCTCTATTTCAGCTGGAACCCTAAGTTCTTCGCAAATTCTCTGTTCCAATATTAACAAGTACCCACTTGTTATTAATTTTCAGAATCTTTTTTAACAATTGCAGTTGGCTTCACCATCACATTATCAATAATTATTTGAATTTAAATATCAATTAGATGTAAGTGTTCACCACTGTTTCCTCTATGTTACATGCCTTTCACCTTTCTTCACTTTAATTATGTTAATATAATTTGGCTTGACTGGACTATGTCCTTAGTTACTGTTTTCTAGAAAAGCCAAATTGGGGATATACTTTCTAAATCCTAGCTTGTATAAAACTGTTTTTTGGGGGTGTCTGGGTGGCTCAGTCAGTTAAGGATCTGCCTTCAGCTCAGGTCATGATCTCAGGGTCCTGGGATCTAGGCAGAGTTGGGCTCCCTGCTCAGTGAGGAGCCTGCTTGTCCTTCTACCTCTCTGCCTGCTCATGTACGCAAGCGCTCTCTCTCTCTCTCATAAATAAAATCTTTTGAAACTTTTGTTTTCTTTTACCATCACATAAATGATAATCTGGGTCACAACTTTGGTCACAATTCTTTTTCCTCAGAAAACTCCTATTGTTTACTAAGAAGTTCAACTATCAGTCTAGTTTTGTTTCCATTATATATAACTTTAATTTCCTATCTTGGTGTCTGTAGGGTTTTGTTTTTATCCTTGAAATAAAGAAATTGTACTGGCACAAGTCCAGCTGTGTGTCTTTTTTCCACAACTCTGTCTTTTGATATTGAATCTTTTTTATCTTGAGTCTTCAGTAAACGTTCTCAGTAAATGTTATCTCTGTTCTTACTCCTGCTCCTGAATCACTTCCTTTCTCTCACTTTGCAGGAGCAGAACCAAGCCATAATACTGTTAGAACACCAACTTCAGATCAACCATATCTACCAAAATGCCACTCTCCAACAGAGACCAGTCAGAATCTTGGTGGTGCCTACATGAGGACTGTACTGTCAGTTTCTGTTGTCTAGACATTGCATTATGATCCTCTAGAAAAGGAAAGAGCATCTATCTTCCACTTTGGTATCAACATTTTCCCATAAGAGTGCCAAAGCTGTACTGCTTGCGTTCAAATGCCTTAGAGGATTTTTAATGAAACAGTTTCATTAAAACAGTTTATTTATTTATTATTTTTTATTTATTTTAAATAAAAATTTACTTATAGTCTACTCTCCCATCCCAAGATACAGATGCAAATCCAACAGAGACCGCATATGGCATGTAGACAAATCTTACTCATAAACGCCATGCTGTACTTTGTATTTTCCCCTGGACAGTGAAAGCTCTGTCATGAGGTCAAGTTGGTGTACTTAACTTTTAGTTTTCCTAAATTCTGTCTTCTGTAGAAATTGACGTTTTGGGGTGCGTGATGGCTCAACTGGTTAAGGGTCTGACTCTTGATTCAGCTCAGGTCTTGATTTCAGGGTTGTGAGTTCAAGCCCTTCACTGGGCTCAGTGCTGGGCATGGAGAGAGACAGGAAGAAGAAAGAAATAAAAGAAAGAAAGGAAAGAGGGAAAGAGAGGAAGGAAGGAAGGAAGGAAGGAGAAAAGAAAGAGGAAAAAAGGGAGAAAGAGAAAGAAAGAGAGAGAAAGAGAAAGGGAGAAAAAGGGAGAGAAAGAAAGGAAAGAAGAAAAGAAAGAGAGATGGAGGGAGGAAGGAAGGAAGCAGGGAAGGAAAAAAAGAAAGAAAGGAAAAGAAAAATTGACTTCTGACATTACGGTAGATAATATTTTCAAAGATGACGTGGTATCTGCCATTCCACATGCTTTTTCCCCAATATGAGTCTGTTACTGAGCTGGCCCTGTGACTGCTTTGACCAACAAAATATAGAGGAAGTTTCAAGACCAGGAATTAAAAAGGCCTGGTAGCTTCTACTGTGTGGTCTGCAGGAACCAACCAACATGTAAGAAGTCCTGAAACTACCGTGCTTTGAAGAAGTTGCTAAAGAAAAAGTTATTCTGACACTTGGTTGAATGGTAAGAGGGACTTTATTCAAGACTGTTGCAATACAGATATTGCAGCAGAGGAGAGGGATCAGCTCAACTCCAAATGTAGCAAAGACAGTTGGAGATTGATAACCAAAGAACAGAATGAGGGCATCAGGAGACAGAAAATTACTCAGGGTAAATTCTTGTTGAAGACAGCCAAGGACTTAACATATGAGAGATGGGGAATGAGGAATTTGATCAGATATTTGATCAGGGTGATCAGATAACAAGGGTAAAGGGGACATTCCCCACACTTACTGTGATGGTTAATTTTCTGTGGAAAATTAATTGGGCTAAAGGACGCCCAGATAGCATTAAAACATTTCAGGATGTGTCTGTGAATGTGTTTCTTTTTTTTTTTTTTTTAAGATTTTATTTATTTGGCAGAGAGAGATCACAAGTAGGCAGAGAGGCAGGCAGAGAGGCAGGCAGAGAGAGAGAGAGAGAGGGAAGTAGGCTCCCTGCTGAGCAGAGAGCCCGATGTGGGGCTTGATCCCAGGACCCTGAGATCATGACCTGAGCCGAAGGCAGCGGCTTAACCCACTGAGCCACCCAGGCGCCCCTGTGAATGTGTTTCTGAAAGAGATTAGCATTTAATCAGAAGACTGAGTAAAGAATATCTGCCTTCACCAATATGGTCAAGCATCATCTAATCTGTTCAGAGTTCAAATAGAACCAAAAGGTGAAGGAAGGGCAAATTTTTCTCTCTTTTCTTGTACTGGGACCTCCATCTCCTAGCCTCCAATATCTGATCTCCTGGTTCTCAGATATATTAACTCTGGGACTTACACCATCAGCTCTCCTGGTTCTCAGGCTTTTGGACTCTGATTTATACCATCAACTTCCCTGGTTTTCCAGTTTTCAGATAGCATATCATGGTATATCACAGCCTCCATTATGGTGTGAGTCAGTTCCTATAATAATCTCATATATCTATATAAATCTTTTAGTTCTGCCTCTCTGGAGAACCCTAAAAAATATACTTAATGTAGCAGGATTCTTGTTAAAACAGGGCTAGCAGGAAGAAGATAGAACAGGGGCTACCGCATACATTAAACCTCAGACTACGTTGTTCACATCCCACTGTTTCCATATGTATATGTAAAATGCTGATTTTCTGAAAAGAAGTATTTGAGTTTTTATGATGAAGCTAAAGTATAAAAGCAAAATCCTAAAGCAGGCAAACTAGGTATTCTAAAGCTTGGTTTCATTTCATCCCTGTTCTGTTTTATTGGTCGCTGCATGAAGCTCTTTTTACAGGAATCATGTATACTTTAAGGAAGAAGTAAGACTTAGTATTTACATCAGCACCAAACTAATCCCCTACTGCGGAACTGCAAGGATGACTGAGAGGCAGAGATTGAAGGGATGGAGAAAAGTCAGGGGTTTCCAGACCGACCAGCTGGGTATCTACCTTCATCCATCATTAGCCTGAATTGGCAAATTACCTAACTTCAATGAGACTCAAGCTTTCTGTGGGGGATAAGGGCGGGGGGCGGGGGCGGTGGAGAGATTTTTGTTTCTTTTTTCATTTGTAATAGAAAACACTTGGGGCGCCTGGGTGGCTCAGTGTGTTCAAGCCTCTGCCTAAGGCTCAGGTCATGATCCCAGAGTCCTGGGATCAAACCCCGCATCAGGTTCTCTCCTCAGAAGGGAGCCTGCTTCCCTACCCCCTCCTCTCTGCCTACTTGTGATCTCTGTCAAATAAATAAATAAAAATCTTAAAAATGAAAACACTTATCTTACCTTGCCCGGTTTTATGAAAAGTGCCTTTGCTGGTGTGGAATAAGCAGCCGCTACTAAAAGAGGACTGAAGGTGTGTTCTGTTGAGGAAAGGAAATGCTGAAATGGTGCTTTGCAATTAACCTAAGGTATGCAAAAAATAATGAATTGTAGAGTAGAAGGTGTTCTTCTGAAGTTTAAAAAGGTGTATGGCCACATTTCTAACGTTTATACACCTCACTGAAACAGTGAGGTTGTTTTGCTTGTTTCACTACTACAAAAATCCGTACCTGCCAAGTTGAAAGCAAGCGTGGGGCCCAGGCGCGGATAAAGATTGAACATAAAATACATGTCCTTGCCTGCTCGGATCTGTGTAGACAGATGACTCAGTGGTACAGAGCCTTCACCTACGGTGAGGGTAGCTAACACCATTCAATCTCAGTGTGACCCTGGACGTGAAGGATCGTAAAAATGTTACTTCGGCGACAGCAAAAGCTCTTAAAACCTCGTTTTGACAAGATTTAAGAAGAAATAGGACGCTTTCGAGGATCCTCTCGCGAGAGGAGAGATTCTAACGCCACGTCAGAACCTAGAGACGCTGGCGCCCAGCAACAGATGCCGGAACAACGATCGGTGAAAGCCAGGGACGCGTAGGCTGGTCGGTCGGCGGGACTTCCGCCGGAAGCCGGCGTGGTCCGGAAAATCTCTGAACCGAGTTTCGGCCCGTCTTTCCCCTGGAGGCCCTCGGTGGGCGCCCTGTGGGCCTGGGTGAAGATGGCCTGTGCAGCCGCACGGTCCCCGGCCGACCAAGACAGGTGGGTCCTGAGAAAGGGTGCTGCACCGCCCTCCCCATCCCTGAGAAAGGCCGGCGGGTGGGGCTTGTCTCCGGCCCCAGGCTCCCGGCCTCTTCCCAGTTGTTGGTTCCTCCGGGAGGCCAGCGGCGCCTGGCTCTTCGTAGTATCCCCGAAATTCCGACCCTAGGTAGTTCAGTGGCTGCCTGCGCCGGAGACGAAGGACTTTGGGTGCTACGTGGACAGCACATTAAGTAACAGACTCACAGAGTGAGAAATGTGTTCTTTTCATTGTTACGTTCAGAAAGGCACGTTTTTCAGTCTTCAGATACCTCTGCTGGTGTGGTTTCTGCTTGAGAGCAGGCCCCAGCCTCAGGAAGTTTTTAAAAATATATTTTTATTTTATTTATTTGACAGAGATCGCAAGTAGGCAGAGAGGCAGGCAGGTAGAGAGAGAGGAAAGGAAGCAGGCTCCCTGCTGAGCGGAGAACCCGATGCGGGGCTCGATCCCAGGACCGTGGGATCATGACCTGAGCCTTAGGCAGAGGCTTGAACCCACTGAGCCACCCAGGCGCCCCTCCTCAGGAAGTTTTGATAGCCGGCTATGTGTTAACTGACCGGTGAAGGCATTGTTTTGGTTTGGTTTTAAACCTTCTGTAACAACTGATTTTTTTTTCCAGCTGAGGTAGTAAACTAACATTAGCTTTTTAAGTAACGTAAGTAAAAGGGAGGCAATTTCAAGAAAAAAAATACTAAGCAAGATTAATAGGCATGCTGGCAATCTTGATGATGAAAGAGTGAATGAAATTTTGGAAATCCTGCTCTAGTGATACTAGCTGTGCTTCCTTCTGTGGCAGGTTCATTTGTATCTATCCTGCTTATTTAAATAACAAGAAGACCATCGCAGAGGGGAGGCGAATCCCCATAAGTAAGGTAAGTGGGCTGGCACCTCTGTCCTTGAGGGGTGGGGGGAGGTTGTACTGTTAGGGCTTCAAGGGTTTCTTTTACTATACTATTGTTTGGGGCCTGAGGTGAACAGCTTCCAGGAATTGGGGTGCTTTTCTTAACAGTGGTGAAACCAGAAAGGCACTAATACTTGGCTGGGGGAGTTATTTTAAAAGAAAGCAGACATTCTTGTCTCTCTCTTTTTTTTTTTTTTTTTTAAGATTTTATTTATTTATTTGACAGAGATTACAAATAGCCGGAGAGGCAGACAGAGAGAGGGAGGAGGAAGCAGGCTCCCCGCTGAGCAGAGAGCCTGATGCAGGGCATGATCCCAGGACCCTGAGATCATGACCTGAGCGGAAGGCAGAGGCTTTAACCCACTGAGCTACCCAGGTGCCCCTGGGGGAGTTATTTTAAATGGTTCTTCATGAGCTTATGCTTTAAAGAAGTTGGGTGGCAGTAGGGTTTGCATGTTGTTGTTTTTTAAGCCAAGGTTATGATACTCTTGCCCTTAATTTGTCAGAGAGAGTAAGCACAAGCAGGGGGAGTGTCAGAGGCAGAGGGAGAAGCAGGCTCCCCACTGAGCAGAGAGCCCAATGCAGGACTCAATCCCAGGACCCTGGGATCAAGACCAGAGCTGAAGGCAGAGGCTTTAACCCACTGAGACCCAGGAGCCCCTACTCTTGCCCTAAATAAAGGAAATCAAACTATGGCATTATATGATGTCCAGAATGCAGTTGAGTTATTAAACAAGACTTGCAGAAAATTTATTATTTTTTTTTAAGATTTATTTATTTGAGAGTAAGAGGGGAGTTGGGATGGGGGAAGGGGAAAGAGAATCCCAAGCACTCCCCGAACTGAGCAGCTGGATCCCACCACCAAGAGTCTGACGCTTGGGCACCTGAGTGGCAGTTAAGCATCTGCCTTTGGCTCAGGTCATGATCCCAGGGTCCTGGGATCCAGTCCTATATCGGGCTCCCTGCCTCGCAGGCAGTCTGCTTCTCCCTCTGCCCCCCCACCCCCCAGTGAGTAAATAAATAAAATCTTAAAAAAAAAGAAAGAGTCCAACATGTAAGAGACTGAACCACCCAGGTGCCCCAGGTGTTACGGAGAATTTAGATGTGTGGAGTTTTTTAGTTTTATGTCCGTTATCTTTTTTTAGAAGTTATACTTTAGAAGTTATACTTCTAAAAAGGGTGTTAGAGTTTTAAAAAATATGATTTCTCCCTTGTGCTGTTTGAATGGGAAACTTCAAGTTCTCGGTTGGCCTGGTGGCATGTTTGGAAAGTGCCTTAATCCCAAGTGAAGGGTCTTTGTAGCTTTTTTTTTTTTTTTAAGATTTTATTTATTTGTATATTTGATGGAGAGAGAGAGCAAGAAGGGGAATACAAGTTAGGGAGAGGGAGAAGCAGGCGTCCCGTTGAGCAAGGAGCCTGATGTGGGGCTTGATCCCAGGACCCTGGGATCATGACCTGAGCTGAAGGCAGATGCTTAACGACTCAGCCATCCAGGTGCCTCTCTTTGTAACTTTTTATTTTGAAAATTGATGTCATATTCTGGTTTTTTTTAAGAGTTACTTATATTTTGTAATCCAACAACAGATTCAGGATAACTTGGTCTGAAGCAATACATTATTTTTGTCTTATTTAATGTCTCCCATTTTGCTGTTTAAATATGTCTAAAGGAAAGTCTGCTCTGCTGCCCCAGGGTAAAAGAGACTACCAAAGCACTGATTCAGGAAAATGCCTGCCATCAAGCCAATGTGACAGAGGTCTCTGGTAGCAGCTCTCACACAATTTGGAGGATAATTAAATTGTTTTTAACTTTATTTGTGTACAACATACACACAAAAATATACACATGTCTTAAGTGTATATCTTGATTCACTTTTATAAACGGAGTACACATGGGTAACCAAGCACCTGAATTAAAAAAAGAAGGTGTGGGCACCTGTGTGGCTCAGTGGGTTAAGCCTCTGCCTTCCACTGGGTCATGATTTCAGGGTCTTGGGATCAAGTCCCGCATCGGGCTCTCTGCTTGGCAGGTAGCCTGCTTCCTCCTCTCTCTCTCTGCCTGCCTCTCTGCCTACTTGTGATCTCTGTCACATAAATAAATAAAATCTTTTAAAAAAGAAGGTGTGGGGCGCCTGGGTGGCTCAGTGGGTTAAAGCCTCTGCCTTCGGCTCAAGTCATGATCTCAGAGTCCTGGGATTGAGCCCCACATCGGGCTCTCTGCTCAGCAGGGAGCCTGCTTCCTCCTCTCTCTCTGCCTGCCTCTCTGCCTACTTGTAATCTCTGTCTGTCAAATAAATAAATAAAATCTTTAAAAAAAATTTTTTTTTAAAAAGAAGGTGTGATCAGCACCCAGGAAGATTCCTTTGTCTCCTCACAGTCACTTCCCCCGGCACATATACTCACATACAAGGATAACCATATCCTGACTTCTGATGCAATAGATTACTTTTGCTTGTTCTTAAGCTTTATTTAAAAGGCGTTATACACTATGTACTTTTGTATCTGTCTTTTTTTCACTGAACTTTAAGCTTAAATTTATTCACATTTTTTAGTGTAGTTTGTTAATTCTCATTGCTCTGTAGCAGGGTTTCTCAACAGCAGCACCATTGACATTTTGAGCCAGATCATTTTGAGCCAGGTGATTCTGTAATCAGGGCTGGTCTGTGCTTTTTAGTTGTTTAGCAGCATCTTTGGCCTCTACCCACGAGATGCTAGTGCCTTACCTGACTCCTCTGACAATTAGAAATGTCTCCTAGGGGGCGCCTGGGTGGCTCAGTGGGTTAAAGCCTCTGCCTTCGGCTCAGGTCATGATCCCAGAGTTCTGGGATCGAGCCCTGCATGGGGCTCTCTGCTCAGCGGGGAGCCTCCTTCCTCCTCTCTCTCTCTGCCTGCCTCCCTGCCTACTTGTGGTCTCTGTCTGTCAAATAAATAAATAAAATCTTTAAAAAAAAAAAAAAGAAAGAAATGTCTCCTAGCATTGCTAAATGTCAGGGGGCAGAATTGCCTTGCTGAAAACGCTCTGTAGTATTGAATTGTATAAGTAAATCACAGGCCATCATACCATTGATGGATACTTGGTTTCTAGTTTGAGGCTATTTTACATGCTACTGCTGTCAACGTTCTTGAGTTTGTCTTCTAGGAAACATTTTTGCATTGTTCTTGGATATGTACTTAGAAGTGGAATTGCAGAGCCAGGAAGAATGCATATGTTTAGCTTTAGTAGATACTACCAAACAATTTTTTAAAGTGGCTGTATCTGTAATAGTTGTTTAACCAGTATTCATTGAGCACCTACTGTGTTCCAAGCATCATTCCAGATACTTGGGAATTTACGGATAAACAGAACAGTCCCTGCCTTTGTGAAGTGTATGTTCTGTTGGAAGGGAGATGGACACACAGGTATAAATTAGTGTTATTCCTGTACTTTTAAAAATTACAGTGGAGGGGCGCCTGGGTGGCTCAGTGGGTTAAGCCTCTGCCTTCAGCTCAGGTCATGATCTCAGGGTCCTGGGATTGAGTCCTGCATCGGGCTCTCTGCTCAGCAGGGAGACTGCTCCCCCCCCCCCTCGCTGCCTGCCTCTCTGCCTACTTGTGATCTCTCTCTGTCAAATAAGTAAGTTAAAAAAAAAAAATTACAGTGGAAACAACCATACCTAGTGAAAAAGAAAATCTAAGGTTTTGATAACTGTTGTGATCCTCATATTTGAAATGATTCACACAACGATGTAGCAGTATCTGCTTAAGGTATAAGCTGTTTAGTGTTTTTGTTTTTAACTCTTCAGGCTGTTGAAAATCCTACAGCTACTGAGATTCAAGATGTGTGCTCAGCAGTTGGACTTAATGTATTCCTTGAGGTAAGAGGTGGTTCTTTCTTCACTATTTTTCCTACTCAATCTCATTGATGTGACAACTTTTTAAAGCCTGTTTTATATATATTTTTTTTTATTTTAGAAAAATAAAATGTACTCTAGAGAGTGGAATCGTGATGTTCAGTACAGGGGCAGAGTCCGTGTCCAGCTGAAACAGGAAGACGGCAGCCTCTGTCTTGTACAGTTCCCATCACGTAAGCTTTTTTTTTTTTTAATGAACAAATAAAGTTTGGCAACAGGTCGTTCCTCTACAAAAAAAGTTCTAAAACTGACCCCTTTGAAAGGTAAAATTCATAATTTGCATGTTGCAGATGAATTTAAGAAAGGCTACTGCTGAGGAAGGGAGGAAAACAGTGGTTCTCACTTCTTTTAAGTTAAGGACCTCTAGGAATGTGATGAAACCTAATCATTTATTTAAAAAATTTGTTTTGTGAACTTTTTATAAACCTCTGGAAATCCGTCATTATTCCCAGGTTAAGAGTGTAGAATTACTGAGTGGTCAGATGTTAATTGGCATTTCAGATCCTAGAGGCCTGTGAGGTCTGTTAATAATTTCTATCATTAATTTAAAAGCCATACTGAGTGAAAACTGCAAAAGGAATGCATAGTGTGATACCACTTCGGTACATTTAAATACAAAATGTTACTATTTATTGGTGTATATGTAATATTGTTTATTGACATTTATATATGTAAATTTTTTTTTAATGGACTGGAGGAAAACCCCATTCTTAAAATAGTAGGTAACTTAATGATGAACAGGACATGGGAAGTAGGGACACAGGAATGGTGCTCACAGAAGACCAGCATTATCTCTAGTGTTTTATTTCTTAAAAAAACAACAGTAACCAGTTATCATTATTCCAAAATAATTAATTCTGGCTTTGGGGAAGATGAATTTTTTTTGTACATGATTCTTTTCTGAATTCTTTATTTCTAAAAACTATAATTTTTTAAATCGAGCTGTTTTTTTTTTTTTCTTGTCACAGTAACCCCTAGCTGACAACTAAATGGTATTTATTTATTTGTTTGTCAGAAAGAGAGAGAGAGAGCACAAGCAGGGGGAATGGCAGGCAGAGAGAGAAGCAGGCTCCCTAAAGGAGCCTAGTGTGGAACTCCATCCCACTACCCTAGGATCATGACCCAAGCCAGAGGCAGATGCTTAACTGACTGAGCCACCTAGGTGTCCCTAGATTGGTTTCTCTATGCTAAAACCTTTCCAGGTTGGTAGATAATTCTAGAAACAAGATTTTTACTTGGATTAACAAGTAGTATATTACAGTGTATTTATTCTTCTCTTTGACATCTTCTTTTACTATCTGTTAAAAGTCAAAAGATAGGGAAGCCTGGGTGGCTCAGTTGTCTAAGCGTCTTCCTTCGGCCCAGGTCTTGATCCCAGGATCCTGTGATCGAGCCCTGTCTTGGGCTTCCTGTTTGGGGTGAGTCTTTTTCTCTCTCTCTCTCCCCGTGTCCTCTACCTGTGTTGGCTCTTGCTCTCTCACTCTCTCTCTCAAATAGGTAAATAAAATCTCAAAAAAAAGTCAAAAGAGAAAAAAAAAAAATCGAGACAAGAAACTTTTGACTTGACCAGTAAATAAAATGTAAGTAAAAATTACAGTTGAAAAATGTTGCTCCCAGTTTCCAATAAGAAAAAAGAAAGTAAGGGAAAAACTGAGAGGCTCCATGTATTGGAAGTAGCTACTAGATCTGGAGGGAGGTAGTAGGTGTACAGATCAGGGTACCTGTACACATGAAATCATCTGGGCATATGAGTACATCTTTCGTAGCCTGATAACATTGGGTTTTTGTTACAAGACTGAGTGGCCCTCTGTTTCTTTAGCTTAAGATACAGTGATATCCTGACTCTCTTTCCAGATTTCTGTATTTTGACTTAACTCCCCTTTGATCTTCAAGTCAGTTACTAGAACCAGGACCAAAATAGGTGTTTCAAATAAATATTTCAGTATTGTTCTTAGTACATTTTCTCCAGGAAAGCTCCCACTTGAGCAAGTCATGTTTTTATAGTCATTTATTTTTTTTAAATCTTTGTCATTTTCCTGATGTCATCTCAAGTTAATGAGCTTGTATGTCTTATTCCTTAGATTATACACTAAGCCTAACTTCTTGTTCCTAGGTAAGTCAGTAATGTTGTATGTAGCAGAAATGATACCTAAACTAAAAACAAGGACACAAAAAACAGGAGGTGGTGACCAAAGTCTTCAGCAAGGAGAGGGAAGTAAAAAAGGGAAAGGAAAGAAGAAGAAGTGACCAGATTTGAGAGCCAAGTCTGTGGTGCTACTGTGAGAGATAGTGAATGAAGGCTTCTAACTTATATCTTAGAGAAATGGAAGCTTTTTATTTGCATCATTTAACCGAACTGTGGACATCTCTGCCTCCCAGCTTCAGCATCAGAGTTGACAATGAAATAAATTTACATCAGAAATTTGCATCTAGCTCTTATGCATGCGGTATGAAAGAAATTTTTTTTGCTTTTCAACACAGAGTTTTTGTGGAAGAAGGAAACATATTTTTAAATGGACAGTGGACGCTGCCATAAGTTACATGAAATCCTGTATCTGTCCTATGTGTAAACATGTTTCAGATAAATGAGTTTAAATAAAGATTTGAAATACACATTTTCTTCAGCTTTTAAGTTAATGAAATAAAATTTGAAACTGACTATTTTAGCTTTTGCTCTTTTGCTTATGAACTAAATGCTAGTAGAGGAGATAATTGCAATCAATAAAATGGGTAGTGGAGGCTTAGTGTGAGCTTAAAACTAGAAGAAAATGGTTAAATCCTCTTGGACATCTATAGATGATATTATTTCAGTTACTGTAACTGAATATTCAATTACTAGTTTTTTGATGTATGGAAAGTATTGGACTTTAAGCTTTAGATCCGCTTATTTTGTTGGCTTAATAACATCATTTTAATTGGAGTTTTAAAATTACCCGTGCTTTAACACCTTGAGATGTACTTTTTCTCAAGAAACTAAACTGGATTGAAGATTCTGACTTTATTTCAAAGCACTGTTCTGAAAGTGGCAATTCTGTGTCAGATCTAAGGGAACCCCTGTCCAGTCACTTGTTTTTGTCCATGAGCATCATTTGGGGAGCCGCCTTCTCTGACTCCATGTGCTTCTGGAAGGGCTTTTAATTACAGGACTGCCTCTTCACCACAGGGTATGACCCAAGCCAGGCCAATGGTTTATTTCTCAGGAATTCTAATCTGGAACAGAAACACAGACATACAGATAATGGGAGCTAAGATACATAATGGGCTACAAATTTGAGTTTTCCGAATCTTGGATTTTTGCACCTGGGTTTGGCTCTTCTATGACTTCTATCAATTGTGCTTTTATATCCTTCTAGTAAATCCCATTTTCTTTAAGTTTTTAATTGCTTGAAAGAAGAAATTCCACTTCATTACAAAATAAGTGAACCCAGCGTTTCAGAGTGTTAGGTGTACTTAGACACCCAAGCTGTATGAAGATGATTCATGGGTGTACAGGAAGAGGTATTAGAATCTTTACTTTTTTCTCCAATAATTTCTGTTGTTAACATGTCTTATAGTGAAAGTAACAGTATAGCAGTTTATATATTTGACTTAGAAGTAAATATTGGGGCAGTATATACAGAACAAAATTTAGAGCAAAATTTAAAACAAAAATTAACCTTCTGGGAAATTGTATCACTTAGGAATGTGTGTAACAAAACAATGAGGAACTTAAGCAGGAATTTTTCTTTTTTTGAAGTAACATCAAATCCAAAATTTATTATAGGTGTAAGTTCAGCTGCTCAGTAACACCTCTTTTATCTTTCCATTCCACTATCCATGGTTTCTAACACCCCTTGGATGGTTGTCTCAAGCTTACAAAAGGGCAGATAGACTATCAAATGTCACATCAGAGTTTAAGGTAGAATGAAGAGATAGCTGTGCCAGCCACTTCTGTCCACCCTTAAAAAGAAAGCTAAAGATTTCTCAAAATTCTTCCCAGCCAACTTTCATTTAAGTCTCCTTGCTGAACACTGTGGCACATGTCCATGTTCAGCTATATGACAGGCTAGGAAAGTGACTATATAGCTTTTTCAGTAATGAAAATAGTCAGCCAAAGAAGAAAGTTGACACTGGATATTGGGGCAGTCAGATTAAATAATTTGCCACAGAAAGATGACCAGAGTCTAAAACTACTTTGGTTATGGAGCAATAAAGATTGTTGGAAATCTTACTGTAACACTGTACTGCTGTTTCTCCACATTGTTGCAGTAAGTGCATAATTGAACCTTTCTTTGCCAATCAAGTAGAAAACAGAATTTTTCTAGTGAGCAAGACAGATCACTTATTCATATGTTGAAAATGCCATTTGTATTTATCTCATTGATTTCTGTTCACATCCTTTGCCCCTTTCTAAGGACTTTATTACCATCAGTGTTACACATAATTTAAAGAGCCAGCTAGTTTTAATAGTTTGAGTTTTAGGCATTAACTTTCATCTGTAGAAGAGGATGATTTAGTTTTCCTTCCTTCACCCCCAAAGTATGCTTCCCGTCCTCACTTCTACCAATATATTTCTTGATTTTAATCACTATTCATAGTTTACGTTACTATCCTATATTTCATTCATAGCTGAATCATGTAGTACTTTGCTACTCAAAAGTGTGGTCTGGGGTCTAGCAGCACTGCTCTTCCTTGGGAACTTGTGAAAAATGCAGAAACTCTGACCCAGCCCAGAATGTTAAAGATCCCCAAGGTATTCTTATGCACATGAAAGTGAGAAACACTGGAGTATGCTGTTGTTACTTTTGTTTTCTGGATTTGTGCATTCTTAATATTTTTTCTTTTATTTGCCTAGGTTTTTGAATATGCATCATTAACTCAACCAGAAATTATCAGTTGTCAAAATGTCCTTTCAAAAAGTTTGTTCGGGGCAAGCGTCTGACTCTTAATCTCAGCTCAGGTCATGATCTCAGGGTTGTGGGATTGAGCCCCGATTTGGGCTGTGTGCTCAGCATGGAGTCTGCCTGAGAGTCTCACTCACCCTCTGCCCTTCCCTCTTGTGCCCTCCCTCTCTCTCTTTAAAATAAATCTTTAAAAGAAAAAGTTTGTTCAAGGGTGCCTGGGTGGCTCAGTCCGTTGGGCACCTGACTCTTGATCGCAGCGCGGGTCTTGAGTTCAAGCCCTGTGTTGGGCTCTACGCTGGGTGTGGAGTAAATAGATATGTATGTTGAGTACCTAAGTTCACATCAGGTAGTTCAATTTCATCTTTCTAAGGAAGTCTTTTCTGGAGCCTTTTACCTTCTCCACTTACTATCCTTTAGGCCTAGTGCACAGCTTCACTTTGGGATCTCTTCATCATCCAGAGTGACTTGCCTCACTTCTTTGCTGTTTTGTATATCCTTATTATGGTATCCTATGCATTCTTTCTTGGGTTACTTCTTTGTTGGTAGCCCATCTTCAGGATCTTCCTGGGAAAAATGCCACTTCTGTGGGAGGGTGGGAGGTAAATGTTCTTACACCATGTATGAAAGCGTCATCATTCTACCCTCACACATTCAAACCCTCACACAATTTGGCTGAGTATAGAATTAGCATTGAAAATTGTTTTACTTCAGAAGTTCAAGTATATTGTTTCATGGTCTCCTGGCTAATGTTATAGCTGCAGGGAAGTCCACACCATTGTAGTTCATGATTTTTTTTTTTAACTTGAGAGAGCATGAGTGGGGAGGAAGGACAGAGGGAGGAGGAGAAGCAGACTCCCTACTGAGCAGGGAGCCTGACAGTGGGGCTCGATCCAGGACCCCAGGTATCATGACCTGAGTCAAAGGCAGACGCTTAACTGACTGAGCCACCCAGGTGTCCCAGTTCATGATCTTTTGTCACCTACATTTTTCTTGTTGAAACACATCTCAGAATTCTAAAATATCACAATAGTGTGCTTTGTGTGGGAACTTTATTGTGCTGGGTACCTAATGGGCCCTTTCAATTTGGAAACTTGTGTTCAAATCTGGGAATTTTCTTGAAAATTTCATCGATGGTTTTTCTACCCTTTTTGATCCTGGAACTCCTCATTCTGGATATTGGACATGCCGGACAAGTTCTCAAGTTTTCTTATCTTTTTTCCCCCTTATTTCCATTTCTTTGCCTTTATGTTCTATTTCCTAGACTACCTAAGCACTGTCTTCCAACCCTTTTGTTGAACTTTTCATTTTTCTTGTATTTTCAACTCACACTCTCTTGTCATCTGAATATTTCCTTTTTCTAGCGTTTTTAAAAAGATTTTTATTTATGCATTTGAGAGAGAGACAGCACGAGGTTGGGGTGGGGGGAGCCGAAGTGGAGGGTGACACCGAGACTCTCTCAAGCCCACTCCACTCACTGAGCACGGAGCCAACGTGGGGCTCAATCCCACAACCCTGAGATCATGACCTGAGCTGAAACCAAGAGTCAGACTCTCAACTGACTGAGCTACCTAGGCGCCCTGCATTCTGTTCTTAATTCATAAGTGTCATTCTTATTTCTCAGGGGGTATGGTTTATATGTTTTTGCTTCCAATTTCCTTTTTTGTTTTTATTTTGATCCCTTATATGTTAAGCGGATTTCTTAGATTGACAGCTTTTTAAGAGTAAAAAAACCATTAAGTTGATTGGAAGTTCTAGGCACATAGGAAGGGCTTGCAGACTGTTGCACTAAAAAGGGATATCTGGCTCAAATATCCTTTTAGGGGAAATTTCCAACATCAATAATGTTTTAGGCTGATCTGTTCCCTAGAGGGAGTCCAATAAGTTTCCAGGAGGATAAAGGTCTGGGAGCCCAGTGGGAGAAGGTGGAGTGAGAGAAATTGATTGAGTCACTCAATTCTGTTTTGTTGCTTGTTTTTAAAGATTTTGAGAGAGACAGACAGAGATAGCTGTCTATCAGAGCAGAGAGGAGAGGGAGAAGAGGCTCTCCGCTGAGCAAGGAGCCCATTGGGGAACTAAATCCCAGGACCCTGGAATTACGACCTGAGCTGAAGGCAGCCACTTAACGGAGCCACGCAGGCGCCCCTCAATCCTTTTAATAAAACTTCCGTCCCTCAATTCTGCCTGTGTCCTCCCCACTCCAAAGATCCTCTTACTATCTCTGGAGGACAGACTGCCAGTCTTTCACTTGGAAGAGGATAAGGTATTCCTTTACCATTTCTTTCTTCTTTTTTTTTTTTTTTAAGTTTCTTCCCAACAGTAAGATTGCTCTTTGCAGTTATTTTGATATTGGGGGTGACTTTATAATGAAATCTCTATACCAAGGAGATGAGGTATGGTAGACAGAATAATGTGCACTCTCCTCCCCCACAAAAAACCGTTATGAATATTACCTTACATGGCAAAAGGCCTTGTAGGTGTGATTAAGTATCTTCAGCTGGAGAAAGTGGCCTGTATTATCCAGGTGGACCCAACGTCATCAAAAGGAGCCTTCTAAAAGGGAAG